AAAGAGGCAAAAATTACAATCTGCTAATACTAACAACACACAATTCTCAACAATTTCTAGCAAATATTGAACAGTGTACATGCATGATGGTCATTCATCCTGTGAGTCTCACAAACAGAAATGCGTAACACAAAACACCGATCATTCTAAACTGATATACTACTCCATTTCTATGCTAATGACCGCACACACTTGGAGAGGAGTACATGAAGGCAGTTCTATTACAAACCAGTTGCTGTTCCAAATCCTGTTGATGTTCCAGTGCCGAATGTTGATGTTTGACCAGGCGTTTGGAACACACTTGTTCCTGTGCTACTTTTTGCTGCATTACCAAACAAACTGCCTCCACTTGATCCAAAAGCACCGAATGAAGCTGTCAAGGCAAAAATTAATCAAATCACTGGTGAGATTTTACCCCAGTTTCTGTAGCATGAAGCAACTACAAGTGGGAATATTTCCTATTCCCCCTGGATGGGATGCTAGTCCATCATTGGTTTCTCCCCACCTCCCAGTAATCTGTCAAGTTGCTCTTACAGTTTGTGGACACCTACAATATTTGTACCAATAACCTATTAGTTTTATTTGGATTTTTTATTTTCTATTTTTTTAATATCCTATTTTAATTATTTTCATTCTGATTTTCACAGTTGGTGTGATATCTTACGATTTTTACCAACTTAACTACGTGTAGATGTAGATTTGTATTCCTCGGTAGAGAATAGCATTTTGGGAGTCACATGATTTGCCTATCAAGAGAACACGAAGACCCTGGCTAGTGTAAGAACATGGACTTCTTCATCAATAGTCTAACTTATTAACCACTAGGAAATCATGCTTCCAAAGACATACAATAACAAGATCTACAACAGTGGAAACCCAGCTTAACAAACCCCTTTATGACAAGACTGATATTCTTCTACCCAGCTTAGGGAACAAAACCTAGATATAACAACACCTTGCTCTGACAAATGGCTGAGACTCAAAATGTCAACTTCACAAACTTACCACAGCATTTAATTTACCTTTATCAACTTCAAGTTAATACATGTAAACAGCTAAGTGTCTCACTTTCCCTCCAACATAGCCCATCAGTTTCTTTAGAGATCTTTTACAAACTAACAATGTTGTTTTACGTGGAGGCAGCATGGCCGAGTGGTTAGGGAGCTAGACTTGAAATCCAGAGGTCACAGGTTCAAGTCATGCTCTGACCACTAAGCTGGAGTTGTTTGTCTGTAACCCCTAGTTCAACTCCTCGGTCATGCTTGCAAATAGCCAACTGGTCTTCCTCCCACCAGTTGGGATTTTTAAGGCTATTATAATTATTTACATGTAGTTGATATACAGTATTTGTTTCTTTCGGTTTAGTAGATACCTGTCAACTACATGTAGCTAGGTGTAGCTACATGTACATGTAAGCACATTGACAACTATAAACAACATTTCAACATTTCAAAAAAAATCCTTGATATAAGAAGCCCTGCTTGTAACAAACACATTTGTCCCAAATCCTTAGCACCACATTGGGGTTTCCCTGTATTAGAACTTAAATGAAAAGGGTTAATATTTGCAAGAATGTTACACTTACATTGAGATGTTGGTTGCTGTCCAAAGATACTGCCTGTAGCTCCTCCACCAAACAAACTTCCTCCTGTGTTTGTCGCTGTGCTTCCAAACATACTACCAGTCCCTGAGCTCTGGGGCTGATTGAACGTAGTGCCAAAACCTGTCTGAGTCTTGCCGCCAAACAGGCTTGTGCCAAGACCTGACGGAACATGAACATTATATATTGTACATGTATTTATTTATTATATGGCTAGCTCTGTGAGCGGGTAAGATGAACTGGATCCTGCACTGTGATTGACTACCCAAGCAGGCAAGATGACACTACACATATCTTGACTGCTTGGGATTACCTGCTGTGTCCCGCAAGAAAATAGTGTTCTTTTTGCATATAATAAATCCTTTATTGACCAAGTTTGTTCAGTCAAGATGGCCGGATATTGGCCTTGTTCTTTTTTTTGCTTATTTATGGACCTCAACTCTGTCTCAGTCCAAAAACAACCCAAAAAAGAACCTGGCCACTATTCAGCCATTTTGACCTTATGTTTGGTCAATATATTTATTAACTACAGAATCTCCAGAAATACTGGGTACTTTCCATTTTGACAGACCAACTAGTCATAGACCAGTAGAATAAACCAAGGAAAATGGAACGTTACTTTTCATTCAAACCTGGACAACTGAAAAGAATGGTCCTTACCATTTTCTATAATTTTGTTTCCCCAATCCCCCACATAAACGAAAATCTACTGACAAGAAGTAGGGTGCCCAACAAACCAATTCCTCAAAACCAAAAGGCAAATTTCAGTCCAACAAGTCAGACCAATAATAGTGGACTACCTCTAGAGGTGGTTCCGAATATTCAATTTACATTGAACTGAAATGGACTTTTCCATTTGACTTTTGACCAAAATTTCCAGAATGTTTGGCATAATGGAAAGCACCCAATAGACACCTACATTGAAACTTCTCATTAGCATTTTGCAACAAAAACAACAAGGTATGTCATGAGAATGAGGAGCTTGATCAGCTCTTAAAAGAATTCTTAAGTGAATTAAAGCAGTATTTCCACAAGGAGAATAGAACAAAATACATCTGTAGAGACAGCTATAGAGCCACATGTAGATAGTTGCTATTGAAAATTCTGAAGAGTGACTCATTGCTCAATTTAGTGGGTGACTTCATTCAAAATACGGTGGTAACATACAGCAGAAGTACAAAGCTGCTTCAAACTGGTATAGTGTAGACACGAATGGTGAATGTGAGTAGTTGATGGATGAGTGATAAATTTGTGATGTCCAAAAACCAACCTGAGCTCGCGCCAAACTGTGTTGTGGTGTTCTGACCTCCAAAAGCTGGAAACAAATCATTCATGTCAACATACACAAGATGATAAGATCTCCTGAAATTTTTTGAAAAAGCATCAGAACTTGTTCGACTTTTAGGAACTGAATACTTTATCTGAGTATTAACTGAGGGAATATCCCTCAAAACCTTTTCAGTTACGCCAAAAAAAGAACACTCAGTCAAGAAAACAGATATTTTTGAGATAACTTTCATCACATATGTATATTCTCATCAAAATCAACATCTAAAATGGGAAGCAATAGGCCTGTGTTACTAGAAGCTTCGATATCCAAATGACTTTACGTGTATAATATTAATATTGTAATTGTTTACCTCACATAGTTAAGCCTAAGTCTACAACCATACATATACTTATTTCATGCCAGTTACTAGGTATACGCGAAGAACCATAGATCATACATACTTGTTCCTGTTCCAAAGCTATTGCCAGTGCCAAAGGGCGTATTCGTCGAAGATCCAAACATCTCGAAAGCTAATGAACACAATCTGAGTTAAATGTTGGTTGCTACTTCACAAAGATTGCCAGTTGATGAACGTCGATGGCTGTCAACACGTGCGAGAACAAGGAATACTTCAGAGGGTCAGATGAAGATATCTGCTTTGCAGTCCATCATAACAAACACTGTTTTGATAAAATGATCTTCCTGAATGTCGCTGTATTCGATCCAGACTTGTTTTATAGGTTAACAAGGTTATTTTCGGACTATTACAAGGCACAAACAGGAGGAAACAGAAACTGGTTTGAACCACAATCTTCCAGTAGGCGCCAAGACAGCTCCCACAATGCAATTCGATGGCAATAACTGCGTCATGTACCCTAATTATAGTATCTCAAAGCGAGCCTCCCCAGTCCCCTTATCAAGAGTTGGGTTGGCGCGATTTTCGACCACAATTTTTTTGTGCTTTGTTTGTTTTTTAGTTTGTTTTTGTTTTTTTGGTGTTTTTTTTTCTGTACAGTTAATAAACCAAAGGTCAAGTTTTCCTACTTATTCGCTGTATATATCAGGTTTTCTCAGGTTGTTCTATAACTTATCAATACAACTGAAACGAAATGACTTAAGGTTTGCTGAAAATCTTCAGTTGTCCGACGTTTCAATGTTAATTTTCGAACGTCATTTTCAAGGCAAAAGGTGAAAATATCGAGGTCACAGAAATTTTAATTATAAATAAGTGAAAAACATAATTTACATTTTTGTGTATGTTATATAAATAACTTTGAGCAGATGGAGTCTGCTTTCGAGTTCAACGATGGTTTGCGTTCTTTCGTAAACGAGACATTGGAATTTGTTTCCGCACTATTTGAGTATAAACTAGGATAAAATAGTTCTTCAGAAAAGATATAAAGTCAAATAAAATGCGAATAATTATTTGCTG